TGCCTTAAGTAAGGCCCTCGGCTTGATCAGCCTGCTTTCTGTAAGTTCCTGCGTTGAAATGCCACAGGGGAACTTGTCAACAGGCCCTGGCTGAGCCATGGTGACACTGGCTGCGGGCACAGCACAGCTAAGCCACCAAAGTACAGGGTGATGATTGTATTAAAACAATCTTTCTTCACAGCAGGACTTGGGATGCTACGCAGAGGGGCTGAAATGGTACAATGGCAGCAGCATGTCTAGTCGGGCAGTGCTGAGGGAGTCACTTGACTTCATGGCTCATTGTAATCTACCGGATCCCTTCTAAACTCTTCACTCCACAGGTGTTAACAATACTCTCTTTTTAGTGGTCTTGTTGTTTCACCAATCAAGCCAGCCTTTCTTCTGCAAGTCTGCTGTCTGCTAACTGCTCCTGGTCACAAAGCTCCTGGGTCACAGCCCTGCAGATTGTTTTTAACTCATTCTAACAAAATTATATGCGTTTGCTTCCATCTTAAACTGAACCATACAGCTTGAGACTACTAGTGAATCTTCTTGTTTCTTTTCAACTGGAGAAAAATGTGTTGTTTTATATGTTATGGTGCACATAACATGTGCAACCCCTCCTTTTCAAAATTCCAGATCTGTCCATGGCAGATCTTCTCACTTCAGCTTGAATTGCTTCTGTTTGCTGTTGAAATGTGTAGCCTTGCTTGTCCCCGTCTTCAAATGCCACCTCAATCCAATGCAGATGCAAAGGAATGGTCTCACTTTCCATAGCCTCTTTCCAGAATATATAATAGACCTCCACTCTCTTATGGTGCAGACAGATCAAATGATCAATCTGATGCCAAAATCCTTTCACAATGCCAAACAGAGGGTGAAATCAAATGCCATTTTTATGGACTATTACAGTTAGGACTGACAGCTCTGTGTCAGGTTTTCAGATTGTTTTCAGGGGTTTTTTTTATAATTTTGCCAACATGAACTGTTTGGGTTGAAATTTTCCATTTTAGCAATTACCACAAATGAAGCTACAGAAAAGCAGGGGCAGGAGTTCTTTAAAAGAAACAAGAAACATTGTATGACATTAAAAGACGTCCCCAAGGCTAAGGGGATAAATTAAGATCGTCCAGGCCACACTGTTTCTGGTACTTCCTAACCATTTGAGTGCTTGGCTTTGCAACCTAGTAGTATCTGGGGGCGGGGGGAGAGGCGGGGTTGTATGATAACAGATTTATAATGGGGCTCCCACTTATTTCGGTCGGGGATTGAGCTGACCCTGTAAAAGCAGCGAGAGATGACAGCATTTACCCCCAGAGGGCGCTAGGGTAACACTTGTCATGTAGCCATCAAGATGGAAGATCAGGCACTTAATTGCAGATAAATATGTATTTAATTCCCTAGGAGCTCAGGCCAGGCTGGGCTGCTTTGTGTCTTTCACTCTCCCCTGTTCCTCTCTCCTCTCCCTCTCTTTTTCTGTCCTGGCAACTGGAAGATACATTTGCTAAGCAATCTCTATCAGCTGATCTTGCTTCACTGATGTGGTTTCTAATGGAAATGACAACTTCTAACTGGCTTTGTAAAGACTTGTGATCCCTTCCCTCTTTCCAGCCTGCTGCCTTGATCAGTCCTGCCATATGTTTTGTTTTCCCACTTTACCAGGGAGCAGGAGTGTGATTTTTAGCCTGCTCAGTCCTGAGGGCAGAGCTGTCACATCCTTGTAAAGGGCTGTACACATCAGCAGCGCTGGGCAAAGCAGTGTTATCCTCTCTGGTTTTCTATTGCAAATGTAAAGATCAATTCACACATTTGTGTTAGACTGGGAACTATACTGCTCCCTTTTGTGCTTTTTTCCCACATTATGTGGAACTCAATGAGTTTGATTGCTCAGCTTCTTCCTGGTAGCTCTGTTGGGGCAACAATGACAGTTTTCCACCCTTAGCACTGGTGGGGGCATGGGAGGGGAGTGTTGACTTGTGAACTTTGGCTCTGAAGAGCCAGGGTCATCTACTTACAGGAACTTACTTTCAGCATGGCTCCTGCTCCCTCCTTCACCTGAGGATGGAGTAACCAGGCAAAAATCACCATTGACTTACTCAAGGGACATTGCCAAAGACTGGAGACATTTGTTTCATTGCATCCCACTCCACCCCACCACACAGCCTCCCTTCCGAACTGAACTCCTTACCCACAGTGCCTTACCTTCAATGGAGAGGTGCTCTCAGGATTAATATGTCCCATACTGGGTTGCCAACCCTCCAGGACTGGCCAGGAGTCTGCCAGAATTGGCATCGACCTCCTGGTGACTACTGAAAGCAATCCAGGAGACTGATATTGTGAATGGGTTGAACAGTATAATTAATGATATTACATCCTGTTGGGGGGTAAAATCCCAGAATAGCTTGAGTCAGAGTTGGCAACCCTAGTCCCATAGAACTTGCTTTCCTTCCAAATGTGAATATGTGCAATGCATGTTAGCATCTACCTCCTGCCTGCTCCCCCTCTATTGGCAGGGGAAGAGAGGTCAGGATTTTGCTGTCAGCTCCCTGCTTTTCCTTTCTGGCTGCACATGAGGGGGAAAAGAAGGACATCCTGGGGCACAGCTTCCTGCCTGCTAGAGCAAGTCTGTCCCCAAAGTATCTGTCTGGTCCTTGAGCCTTGTATAGAGCTGAGGTCCTTGTCTCTAATGGACCCTGAGTGGGAGCCAATAAAGTTGTGAACTTTGTAGTAAGAAGCCCCTGCCTTTACCTCTTGGACCTGCAAACTGTCTAATGAATCAGTTCATTACAATATAGACCATAGATTCATAGATGCTAGGGTCAGAAGGGACCTCAAAAGCATCAGCGATGTTTGTTTTGTTCTTTAAATGAATGGTGCTCCCCATCCCTGCCTGGTGGAATGAAGCAACCAGGGCTTGTTTTACACTCTGTGCACCCACTGCAAGTCTCTGAACCAATTTTCTGTTTCAGCTGATGCCCCAGCAATGCTGTGGGGAGCTGCACAATTCAGGATTAAATGATCTGTGTCAAAATTTGTCCTAAGAAAATGTGCCTTTCTGAAAGCCCCTCTAATTCAAACCATTTCCTCCCATTAGGCCAGACATCTAGGGAGAGGCTGAGCCTTTCATCATGCCTATGTCCCTCTCCCTGAATGTTTCATGTGTGCACAGAGGAGAAGCACAGAGAGCCATGAAAGCACAAAAAAGCAGCAGCTTGAAGCTGACAATCAGAAAAGTCATGGTGCTTTAAAATCTTCCTGTTTACATGAATGGAAAAGCAGCACTGAGGAGGACTCTAGGTCCCGGATGCTGGCAGCAGGAGAGAGGAGTGCCAGTGCCCTGCTGTGAGCTGTTGTCAGACCCTGGAGCCAGTGGTTACAAAGAGCAGCATAACTAGAGGTGGACGGCTGGGCCACCAGCCCCAGGCACCAATTCTGCGAGGGCACAAAAATGGCAGCTGCAGCTGTGCCCATGCTGCTGCTTCTCCAGACCTGGCACCACTGCTACCCACGGTGCAGTAACCACTTGTTATTCCACTCATTGCAAAACCCAAGAGTCACATTTCTGAAGCTTCCCCCCAGTGCTCCCTCTTCTCCCCCATCTCTCCAAGTTTCCCCACAGATCTGCAGACACTCTTGGTATCGCTGGGCCTTTCACATGCTGGGGCCGGCTCTCAATGCTTGCTTTGCTCAAGGGGTGTTTCACAGGCCTGTTCAAACTGACTATGAGGTGTGATGTCCCATACTGCCACCCCCACTTCTGCAGGACGGCATCTTGGAAGCCTGTGAAGCAAGAAACCAGTGGAGGAAACTTTACAGCCTGGCCATAAAAGTGAATTGAATCAAAATCCCACTTTTAGGAAGGCAGATTCAGATGAGGTAATATACAGCTGCGGGGGCCGCCCTTGGTTTCCTAACTCAAATGCCTGTCTGTGTTTTAAAAAAAAGCTAAGAAGGGACAGCTGTTTCCTGGCTGATGGATGGCTTCAAGAAATGTGGCATAAGGAAGGCCCTAGGACTTACGAATCTGTGTTGAGATGTAAACCAGAGGCCGGGAGAGGGAGGGGAGATCATTGCATCAGCAGGCCTTAAGTTGTACCATTGAGGGTACAGTGGTCCCATAGGCACTCATTAGCCACAGAAGTCTGGTTAATGGGCCGATTCAGTTCTGGGCTGGGGCAAACACTGTTCTCAAGGGAAAATGTGGGTGTGGGGAATGGCATTAGTGAATTAATCTGATAGACTCTTCCTGCTCAAAAAAGAAGTCTGTGTCACAATGGTGTACCGGGGCTGCTGGAGTTCTCCTCTTGTCCATAAGTGAGGAAGCCTGGTGTAATAAAAGATCCTTTCCCTGGTCTTGTAAAGCTACTGGTGTGAACCCCAATCAGATGAATTTACTGCTTTCAGGTTTTCTATATATGCAAAGTATATACGCATTTTCCAGGTGAAACAGGTTGTCCATAGCTGAATCCCTATTGAACTGTCTCTTCTCCTTCATACAATCATACAGTCTCTGCTAGGGTCAGAGGTTTGGTTTTGTTTGTTACTTTAAGGTCTTTCTGTTGCTTAAATTAAATAAAACCTCAACAGCCATGGGAGACAGATTTCAGCCCCTTGAGTTGAGCGGAAGTTAGCGTCCCATCAAGGCCCCCTGTTAAATGTAAGGAGTGACCTTTACTTTGCATTACCTAGCACTATCTGCACGCTAGATCTTGCACAGATAGGAAAGAAGCCACAAACACATTTAGTAAAAAGCTCACAGTCTCTGCAGACGGCACATCCACCCTGGGCAAGTGGGAACCAAAACACGGGGTGATAGTGGCAGGGTTTGGCAGCACTGGTTACATATGTGTGGCTTTTAGCAGCTGTGACACAGCGCTGCAGCGTTCAGTCTTTTCCCCTGTTTTTTGGAAACGGAAAACCACAATGCGAGACCGGCGACTTCCTTTCCACTGCCATCAGACGAGGCTTCAGCATTGCCTGAGAAGGGCTTTCTCCCTTCAGCTTGTTTGCCGTTGTTCCCAATGGGGTCCGTCCAGTACTCAGTGCCTCTACTCTTCCTCATCCTGGGTGAGTGTCATGGAAGACGTTGCTGTCCTTCTCTCTAGCTAGCCTGGGCAGTGGGAAGTGTGGTCTAAAAGGAGGGTTTCCTGGGACAGCCACTCCAGCCTTTCCACTAATTCCTTTGTCAATGGGGCTCTTTGGTGGCTGCCCTCAGGAAGGTGGAGGTGCTCTTAGGGTCCTGGGTATCTTTTGGCACTGACCACTGCCTCTCCAACAAGGACTGTTAGGACTCAATGCAGTCATATTTCCTTCCCCCATGCCTGCCCACTGGCTTGGCATGGCTCTTAGGTGCACTGCAGTATGGCAGGGGTATAGGTGTACTTTAGTGTGGGAGAAGTGAGGGTGCTTTCTGTTACTTGTCTGCTTGTTGCATGCCCTTGCTATACTGCTGTGCCATTCTCCTTTTGAGGTAATCCTGCTCTCCCCTAGATCCTGCTCTCCCTGCCAGAAGCCCCTTAATTTCACTGGGAGTAGCTGTACACCCTGTACAACTGCTGACAGCCAGATGCTGCAAGGTGCATAACTTTTGTTTGGTCCACCCCTTTAGGATGATCTCACACTAGACTTTCAAGTGACACCATTGTTTCCATCCCTGTGTAATTTGGCTGGTCTCCCTGTAGAAATGCAGCCTGCTACTTGTGTACTGTTTTGTATTTGGCTTAGGGAGAGAGAGCATGGCATCAAGTGTAGAGCAAAGCAGCTCTGCTCCAGAAAGGGAGAAAAGATACCAGCCGTCTGGGCTCTGCCCCTTCCTTAAACTTGTTCCATTCAGGTCATAGGCAGGCCAAAGGGGTGAACTCAAGTGTCTGAAAAGCTGCTCTTTTCTCTCAGAAAGCCTCTCTTGGCACCTTCTCCCATCTGGGCATTGCCTCAAACTCAGTTTCTCAGGGCCTAGCCAAAAAACTTCAGAAGCCAACAGATGCCTAAAGTTAAGGGTCTGAGTTCTCTGCAGCTTCTACATGTCTGCACTCCCAAGAGCTTTTCTTATACCTTTTTTTCCCACTTAATATCTCCTCTACCTTTTTCTCCCTCCCACACCCAACCCTCAACTTCAGCTCATTGCTGCCTGTACTGTCCAGGCAGTAACTAATCATTGGTAACTAACCTTTGAGTAGCCAACACTTGGTCTCTTAATGCTGCCTTCCCAACTAGTAGGTGGTTTTTGTAACCTTCTTCCCTGGCTGTGTTATCTGCTGGCAGAACGTGTCTATGACTGTAGCCCTTTCTCCATTGAAACATCTTATCCTGTTTGTTATGCTCCCTTGATCATCAGACTTTGCTTTATTTGCCTCTTTAAAAATGTGGTGCTTGGATTTCAGCTCTGTCTCCTGCCTCTGACCCATCCAGAAGAGACTTACACGGGGCTGAGGAAAGCATAATAATTATTAAAGGGACACTGATCCATAAAACACTAAGTCTTCAGTTTGGATGTGCAGTGACTGCTGCTCTCTGTGAACACAGGGTATTTCCACACACATCTGTACTCATGCTGTTACGTGACTTCCCTCTTAAGCATAAGCAAATTAGGCCTGCGGTTGCAAACTTGCACTTGTCACCATCAGATTCCATGTATCTTTTAAAAACCTAGATCCTTCCCATTTTTTCTATTGTTTGTGGTGATGTAGTCAGTGAAGAACCTGTATTGCCATATGCAATAACTACATAGTACATGGCACTGTTGTTTTATTCTTTGTAAGCAGGCCTCTGCTTCAGCCAGAGGGTAGTGACTGTTCAGAAAGGGCCTCTTTACCGGGTGAGAGGTTACAACATCACCATTGCATGCAATGTGAGTGGCTACCAGGGACCCTCGGAGCAGAATTTCCAGTGGTACATTTACCTGCCCTCTGCCCCAAAGCAAGAAATACAGATCATCAGCACCAAGGACCCCTCCTTCTTTTACGCCATGTATGCCCAGCGTGTCCGGAGCAAAGAGATCTATGTGGAGAGGCTCCAAGGGGATTCTGTCCTGCTGCACATCACTGAGCTCCAGGACCGGGATGCTGGAGAGTACGAGTGCCACACACCCAACACTGATGAGAGGCACTTCGGGAACTACAGCGCCAAGATGCACCTGTCAGGTAGGTTCCAGAGAAGGAGGGCCACCACTCTGTTAGCTCCACCCTTGCTATTCAGTTGCATGCTGGTGGGGATGGGAGAATATGATGGTTCAGGCTTTTATATTTCTCTTACACTGACAGCAACACCCCCACATGTGAGCAGCCTCATTTACTGTAACGTAGTATGAAGCGGGTGGTGAGAGTGGTTCAGGATCCTCCAGAGTAACATGCCTCTTCCCCTACTGCTTCCTTCCTCTGATTAAGAGCAAGCTGGTGGTGACAGATGGGTCCGAGGGGCAGCTAGCAAAGTGAGGTAAGGCAGTGCCTAGGAGAGGAGATAAGGTGACCAGGGCCTGGGGGTTGGGGCTTCTGTCCTTCCCCATCTGATGTGTTTTGCTGTTGCCCCAGGACAAGAATCCTGGAATTTTCTCAGCTGGTCACAAATCCCTCACTTCATCTATGGAAAAGGAGGAGCTGTGTTTCTCCAAGGCAGGGAAGGAGGCTGTACTATGTGTTTTCATGAATTCTAATAATTTTCCTGATGTAATTACTGAAGAGCATGTTGAAATACTTTGGAGGGTAAAAATATACAGGCCTTGAACATTGAAAGCATCTTTCAAAGCAGGCTTACAGGACATGGGAGTGTTATTGGGAAGGGTGACAGCTATAAAGGAAGGCTTTGAAAAAGAGTAGAGTACCAGGAGGAAGGAGGAGGTACCTCTTTCCTGAGCTTGAGGTAAAAGTAGATTGGGATGGGAAGGAGAACCATGACTGAAGGAGGTTCTTGCATTATGGAGCTCTCCTACATAAATGGTGATGTAGCATTTCCAGGAGACAAATGGATGGAAACCTCTAAGAAGCCTGGGTGCTCTGCTCCCTGCCCAAATTATTTCTCTTTCCTAACATTGTGCCAGCTTGTACCTTTGGCCAGGACAGGCTGGACATGATTTACTCTGGAGCCTTTTAACCACAAGCAAGTTAAAAGAAAAGGAAGCAGTACTATGTGCTTCCATGACTTCTAATAATTTTCCTGATGTAGTTAATAAAGATCACATTGAAATACTTTGGAGGGTAAGAATATACAGGCCTTGGAAAGGGCTTACAAAAGGGCAATGTAGAGCAATTAGCACTTACAAGCTGCCAAAGGGCTGGAATATTGTCTACAAGTGGTAGTGAAAGGGTGATGCTACACAGAAATGTCCCTTCTGCCCTGAAGGACAAGCTCAGAGTCCACGGTGACACGCATGGTTTCTAGAGCAAATGGCCATTTTGGCTGTGTTTTCTCTTGTGTTTAGTGATTCCAGACACACTCTCGGCCAGTATGAAGCCCCAGACTCTGGACCAAATGGAAGGAGATCCACTGGAGCTTACATGCGAGGTTTCAAAATCTACTGCTCAGCACACCCACCTGTCTGTTGGCTGGTACCAGATAGCCGGAGATGGTCAAGTCATGGAAATCCTTTCCCTGTCCAAGGACTTTGTGTTGTCTCCAGGATCGTCCTACAGGCCAAGGTTTTTGACAGGGGATGTGCAGCTGGGCAAGATTGGAGACACCACATACAAGCTCTCCATCAGCAGAGTGAGGCCCTCTGACCAGGGCCGACTGTACTGCGAAGCAGTGGAGTGGATTCAGGACCCTGATAAGACATGGAAAGATATTTCTCGGAAACAAACCGAACAGACATTGCTGACTGTCACAAGCCTTGGTAAGATGCGTACAGCATATCACTGATTTATGATATTGATCTAAAATGGGCTTACATCTGAGTAGTTGTAAAAGGATACTGACCCATTCACAAACTTGCATAGTGGGACCAGTTTTCTTGTACATCAAGGCTCCTTTACAGAGCTAATATGGTATAAATGCAAGTCAGGCTTCTTGAGGTTCTGGAGACCCTGGGGAATTATGTGTACAAAAATTCAAAATTATGCACTGAGTCCTGGGGGCTGCACATGGTGGCAAAGAACTGGCCCAGCCTGTCCCACTGACATGTGCCTTTGGATCAGACTGGGCTGGCTCCATGCCAGCACATGGGGCTTGTGGCACTACAAGTGGGAGCCATGTGCCATTGGGCCAGGCCAGCTCTATACTTCCACATGGGCCTTCCAGCACTCTAGCAGGAAGCCACACTTGGAGGCATGGAGCCCGCCCAGGCTGATGGCATGCAGACTGGGAGCTGTGGGAAGTCATGCACCATCAGGCCAGGCAGGCTCCGTGTCTCCACATGCAGCTTCGTGCCCCATATGCTGGCATGGAGCCAACCTGGTCTGGTTCAAAGGTGCGTGTCAACGGGCTAGGCTGAGCTGGCTCTGTGTCAGCATGTGCAGCCCCTGGGACTCGGTTGGAGATGTGCATTACTGCGTGCTCTGCCTGCCGTGGTCACGAGTGCCCTAAGGGCCCAAAGCAAGGTCTGTGCACCATGGAAAGGCAGGGGCATGTGGCGGGGAGGCCCACACCCACCCACAAACCCCACACCCACCACCCCATCCTACAGGCAGGAGCTCCCCTCCCCAGTCACCTGCATGCACCACCATACTCAGTGACTCTACATGGGGCTCCTAGCTGAAGTGCCAGGAGCCCTGTGGATGCACAGAGTCCACCCAAGTTGAATTATGCAAAGTTACACAATTATGCATGGTCTTAACTTTTATGTGCAAAATTCCACGCGTGCATAATTGTGTAATTCTCCAGGGTGTAACCAATGTATTTACAACTGTTTCATGTCACATCTGGTCTTTATACTATTATAAATTACGTCAGTATTCAGGAGAGACAATCATTTCTCCTGTACTGCACACCATAAGCATTACTACAAGGCCTTACAACTAGGTTGTGGAGGGAATAGGTAATAGTCTGTCTGTCTTGAATTAATGTTACCCCAGGAGGATCTACAGACACCACTTACCTGGTGTAGATCCCTGATTTTTCCTGGAGTAATTCTATACTGGATTCTAATAAATTACTAGAAGCCAGTGTAGGACTGAAAATTGTGTGCCCACTCCTTTTTTTTTTATACCAGTTACTCCAGTGTTTATTTGTCTTAATGCCCAGGGCCTGTTTCTCTAAGGCCTTTTCCCTCACCCACAAGGTCATTAAGTCACTGCACAAAATAATGTCCCTTCCTGCAGCAGAGTGAACAGCCATGAGATTTCTCAAGATTTCAACCCTGACAGCTCTTGTCTGAGCGTCCTCTGGGTTTAGTCATCAGACATTCCTCGAGTAGGGGGAATGACAAAGTATTAGCAACCCAACGTCTCCAGAATTAAAAGCTGGGCTTGAAAAGGTTAAGCTGGGTTTAAACATAATGAGTTAAGCTAGTGTGGTTCTTTGCTTTCTGGTATTTGAGTCCTTTTAGTTGTTTTAAGTGAAGGCTGAGATTCTCATGTATTCACCTAAATCTAGGAGCTGGGGATTTTTAAAAAAACCCACCAAATGCTATAAGACCTTGGTTAATTAGCAAGAATTGTCATGTGAGGGTGGGGTGAGCTTCTACTGATCTGCTTCTTCACCCAATGGCAGGAGGCAGGGGAGGATAGCTACAAGGGCCCTTTGTTATGTTCTCCTGGCCTCAGAGTGTGTGCTTCTATAGCCACTGGTGAGGTTGTATGACATCTGGTTCTGTGCCTGATCCGTACAGACATTACATTGCTGCAGCCCATGGCCAAAGTGACTTTTGAATCTCTACTTCAAAGCTGTAGCAAATAGCACTAGATCTGGGGAGATTACTGACCCAGGCCAGTTGCACTAGCTTTTATTTTGGACTGTGAGTACCAGTGCAATGTGACAGAACTACAGTGAAATCATAGTGGGAGAGAGCAGCAGGCAAACTATTTAGGAACTGAAGGCACAATACATAGAAAATAATGTCCTGAGACTTACAAGCTGTATCATTTGTGACCTCAAAGGAGGGAAAACTACACTAGTTGGCTGCACTTTATATCACAGTTCCATTAACCCCCAAATAGCCTGCATTCTGGAGCATTATATGCACATCAGCAGACAACACGACAGATATTGTGTTGTGCTCCAAAACAATTGATCATCAATTTAATTAAGCTTCCACTGATGATTTATTAACATGTCATAAGTGTTTTTTGTGTGGCCTCTTCCCTGAAAGTGTAAGTCAGGGGGTCTCATGTTATGCTTTGAGAAGGTACTGGGGATCAGCATGAAATGCCTGGCTTACATTAGCCTCCTTGATAAAAATGAACACATTTCCCAGAGAAGATTTTCAGGCTGTCAGAACAGTTTTGTCTGTCTCTCAGTGGATTTTGAGAATTAAACTGTTGCTTATTGAGCACTGTCATTCAGATTGGCACTGTACTGGAGGGAGACCTGGTCCTTGTCCCACGGGAGCTACAATCTAAATGAGACAGACAAGGCAGTTCAGAGGCATAATTGGCTGGATGAACAGATGAAGCTGCAAACTCTGAGTGGTTTTCATGAAGTTGATTTTTTTTCCTTTAGTAGATTAGTACTGCAAAAAAGGTCTTGTGAAAGAAGCATGCTTTAGGGACAGTAGAACGGTTATTATGGACCACATCCTGCACCCAGGGAAGTCGGTGACAATTCTCCCATTTAATAGATGCTGAGGCACTGGGCCAAGGAGACTGTTGCAGGTATGAAGGCAACAGAGAGCAAAGGCAGAGCCTTCCTAAATCACAATGTGTGATGGGTAACAGAATGCTTCCTGATCAGATGGTGAAACTTTTAAAACAAGATGATAACGGAAAGCAAATATTTCACGGTAGATATTTCAAATATATCAGGGTAGATACAGGAATGAGAAAAATGCATGCTACTGAGACTGGTGCCAGGGCTTTGAAGAGATTTAATGTGCTGGGGCAGGGGTTCTCAAACTTTGTGATACCGTGACCCCAAGTGCTGGATGGTGGTGGCAGGGGATGGGGAGCTCGCACACAGCAGCCACTGCTGCCACTGACCACTTCCCCACGCCACCACACATACCCCCTGGGAAGTTTGCAGCCACCTTTTAAGTGGCTCACGACCCCCCATGGGGTCACAACCCACAGTTTGAGAACCCCTGTGCTGGGGAATTCAGCAAATGGTGTTGAAATAAGAAAACGAACTGATAGATGCACGCTCTGGAAGGTAGGGAATGATTGCAGGCAGACCTGGATAGGTTAGAAAAGTGGGAAGTACACAATAGGATACAGTTCAACAAGGACAAGTGCAGAGTGCTGCACCGAGGGTGCAAAAATATCCAGCACACCTGCTGGCTGGGAAATGACCCTCTCAGCAGCACAGAGGCAAAAGGGATCTTAGAGTCATAGTGGACTCCAAGATGAACATGTGATGAAATCATCAGCAAAGCTAACCACGCTTTATCATGCGTCAGTAGATGCATGACAGATACAACCAAGGAGGTGGATACTTCCCCTTTATGCAGCATTGGTCAGACTTCAGTTGGAGTACTGCAGCCGGTTTTGAGCACCGTACTTCAAGAAGGATGTTGATAGATTCAAGAGGGTCCAGAGGAAAGCCACTCATATGGTCAGGGGCTTACAGGACAAGCCCTATGAGGAGAGACTGAGGGACCTGGACCTCTTCAGCTTCCACAAGAGAAGGCTGAGCGGTGATCTTGTGGCCGCCTACAAATTCATTAGGGGGATGCAGCAAGGGATTGGAGACGCTCTGTTCACCAGAGCGCCTCTTGGGGTAACAGGAACAGTGGTCACAAACTGACAGAGAGCAGATTTAGGTTCGACATCAGGAAGAACTTCTTCACAGTAAGGGTGGCCAGAATTTGGAATGGGCTTCCAAGGGAGGTGGTGCTCTCCCCTACCTTGGGGGGCTTGAAGGGAAGGCTGGATAGGCATCGGGCTGGGGTCATGTGACCCCAGCACTCTTCCCTGTCCAGGGCAGGGGGTTGGACTCAATGATCTGTTGAGGTCCCTTCCATCCCTAGCATCTATGAATGGTGTATAAGGCAAGTTGTTCTTATAGAAGAACATTCAAGGAGAGGGGTTGACTTGAGAGGTAAGGAGGCCAGATAAAAAAGATAGTGGCTGCAGTAGAAGATGATCAAGCCTTGGTCTAGATTAATGGCCAGGGTGGAGGAGAAAGATCAGGATTTAGCGTGTTTGTGGTAAAAGAAACGGATGTCTAAATGATTATACAAAATAGGTCACCAAGCTGTGCACCATGTGTGAGCAAGGTACTGACGAGCTCTGTTAAAATACTGCAGAAATGCTCTCTGTGGGCAGTCATTTGAATGCCGACTAGGTGGTTGGTTTGATTAAATTTCCTAAATCTTATTATTTACTAGACACAGGAATGGCTTTTGATGTTTACTATTGTTTTGAATGTGGCCACTATTCACACACGCACACACCACCTGCAAAAACAATATTTGCTTTCCATTATCATCTTGTTTTACAAGTTTCACCATCCGATCAGGAAGCATTCTGTTACCCATCACACATAGTGATTTAGGAATAGAAATTATTAATTAAACAGTTTTCTCAGTCTCTTGGGCATTTTCATTCCATTTCGATTCAGATATTAGGCTCCTCACAGTCAGTCTGCGCATTTTACACCAGTATTTGAACTGTAAACCACTTGAAGTATGGTCAAATTCCCTCATTGTTCCTATAAGCCATTCAGTAAATATCTGGGAAGGCCAGAACTGCCTGCAGAAACTGAGTCTTCAGTTTATGGAATTGTTTAGAAACCGATGGTTTAAATTCACTGGATAATTTATCTGCAGTAAATAAACACAGTTCGAGAAGCAGTTATATTTCCATCTTCAGGCAATAGCACATACAGTATTGTCTGGGGAGATGGGTATCATCTATGTAATGTTGATGGAAGAAGATAAAACAATGGCCGTGTTGACTGCCTGACCTGGTTGCATACTGAGAGGTATGGTCATGTTCTAAACTTTATTTCTGTACAGACATTTCATGATTTCATGATCATTTGGTGCATGAGATTTCGGTACAGGTCACATTTTCCAATTCATAACCAATGAGTAGTTTTCACTTAAATCTTGTTCCAAGTCACTTCTGGGCTGTTTTCAAATTTTGAGAATTCCTGAAGGGTTCCTCAGCAAGAGTGGAAATGACAAGCCAGGGTATATTTGCAATAAAAATATTTGGAACAGTCTGTCTGAAAGGAGAATCCTATCAAAGCAACCCAGTGGATTAAGGTTCTGTTGAAGTTTTTTGCCATTTAAGAAAGTTTCCATTTTTTCATAGGGGTTATATCAAGCCCTTATAAAGTTTGGAGAGAAATACCTTAATCCATCCCAGCATAGCCAGCCCAGTGTTCAGGGCACCTGCCTGTGATACAGGAGACCCTGGTTTGAGTCCCTGCTGTGTTTAACACCAGTAACTTGAACCTCAGTCTGTCCGATCAGGGGTAAGGACCTTGGAGTAGGCTGGACTCAGTCTCCCCTTCTCTCTGATCTAGTGAATTAACAAACTGGAACAGCTCAAAAGACCAGATTAAAAAAGACCAATCCAACCACAGCGAATGGATTGATAAGTGCAGTCTCCTATAGGCTGCATGAAACAAAGATTCAGAGCACTGGTCTGAACGAGGCAGAACTGAGTCTCCCGTATGCTGGGTGAATGCTCTACTCATTGATTTATCACCTGTTATGAGGTGGATGGAGGTCTGTCTGTGGTTTGAATCAGAAATTCAATCCTGGAGTGGAGGTGCCTTTCCCTATGAAAGCTTCATTGCACTTGTGTGTTGCAACAAAACATTTTGCTTATAACAAATAAGTATTTTCCAGTGAAAAACAGTTTTTGTGTCAAAACACTGTTCCTTATCTCTCCTAACTCTAACAAAGCTAGGAGTAGGAAGGGGAAAATCAACAAGGGTTTTAAAATACATGTCCTGCTTTTGTCTTTCCACAGAAAGAGACTTCCATGTCAGTGCTGCTGCGAGTGAAAGTTCCCTTGCTGAAGGGATGCCTTTGCAGTTAAATTGCCTTGTGAATGCACAGAACAGCAAGAACAGATGGTTCCAAGTAATTTGGCTCTTTAAAGGAGTAGAGGTAGCCAGTATTGACCCAAATGGGGTACTTGTCTTGAAGAACGAGTATGAAGAGAGAGCTAGATTGGGACAGCTCCAACTGGTCAAGAAAAGCAGTGAAATGTATGTCTTCAATATCTATCAGGTAGGGCTGAAGGATAAAGGCACGTACAGCTGCAAAGTTTCAGAGATGGAGAAGACGCCTACAGTTTTCCTCACCATCCGCTCTAAGCTATCACCGGGCACGGATGTCAATGTGAAGCCAATAGGTCAGTTAAACAAAGTGCCTTTTCTTCTCAGGGAAATATGAAATGATTCATGGCTTGAGGTCTGTTGCTATATTGCCAGCTGCCTTGCCAGTGGCCAGCCCACAATGCTGCTTTTCCCCAAAGGCTATGGGTGTCCTGTAAGTGCTTTGTACAATAATGCTACTAATGTGTCTATTGCAGTAAACAGCAAGAAAAGTACAAACCTCCAACTCTGTATCCTCACACCTATTTGTGCAGGGTCAAGCACACAGGTGTCCAAG